TAGATACAAATGGATAATTTCTCTAATTACATGCGTCGCGACAGGAGATCGCAATCCTAAAGACATAATAATATATACATCTGCGTGAAGCATCGTTGTGTACTACACGCCCTGTATTCCTAAGAACATTCCCGTGAGAATATACGTTTTCTCCTGCTGGCTGGCTAGCACCCAAGAATTTATCCTCCTTTTTTTAACAAGCACATATACGGCTGATTCTCACCGTCTCATTTTTTATGGATATATATGCGGTTGCACGCCCTCGCATCCTTGGGCGCATATCGCAGCTTAGACAGTGTGGGAGCGCCGTAATACTTCTCTTAAAGAAAATATTGAGAGTATTTCTTTACTTTCGTTTATCTCTCTTCTCATACATATTTGATTTAACTTTGTCTCATTAAAGCCTGTCGCTTCGAAAGGAGGTGGGGCGCCAAATTTGCCTGGGTCGTCTGAGTTTTGTTTGCCCCCCTCCAAAAAATCTTTAACTTTTTTTTGTGGAAGGAGCTTTAACGGCTCCATTTGTTGTTTATACAGGTGGGCGGTCCCTTTAGATTTATAAAGTTGGAGACGAATTTTTTTTTTTTTTATGGGGGGGGGGGGGGGGGGCGTTTTGAGTTAATAAGACCATGGGGTTAGAAACCAATTGTTCTGTCTGCTCGATCAAAATTGTAAGATTATTCTGAATTGTTATCAAGATATCCAAATGCTTCTCGTTTGACCCTCCCCCCCCCCCCCCTTAGTTTGAACTAAGTAACTCAAGAAGGCCAGAAATATCCCATAGATCTTCACAACTCACTCTAATGTCGCAGTTGCCCTCGTTGGAGGAGACAGGGCATTTGGTTTCTGACCTCATGGTCTAAGTAACTCCAAACCGCCAAAAATTATTGACCTTTACTTCCCGGCGCTGCTCAGTGGCGACGAGGCTTTTACAGATCTCCGTATTTTGGTTAAGAAAGCCAGCAAGATCTCTGGATATGATTTTATAAGAATGGATGAAATGTATAACACCACATGTATAAAAAAGATAAGAAGCATTATAAACGACCCATCACACCCCTTTTCCACTTGTAAGATCAGCCGCAGATATGTACCTCCAAAAACAAAGAAAGAAAGATATAAAAGAAGTTTTTTTTTTCCATCTAACTTAAGGCTTTTGTCAGAATGAGCATAGATGTGTGTTGCTCTTAGAGTATGTATCTGTATATAACTCCAAAGGTCTAGTATTTAAATTCCTGCAAGTGGTTGAATGATGCATTTGATGTAAATGTACATTTTGTCAGCTTTACTTCTCCTTTCATATTGAATTTTAATGAGAGTAATATATATGATTTAAAAAAATTTTATGTATACCTGCATATTATTATGTTTTTATGGTCCTGTACAGCCAAGGAAAATTTCCCTCTGGGATAATAAAGTACTATCTTATCTTATCTTATCTTATCTCTTAAATGTCAGACAGAGCAATTGATATGTGGTTTCTGGCCTCATTTTCTTAGATCTAGTAACTCAAATCGGCCAAAAAATGTCAAACAGAACAAACATTTGGTTTCCGACCTCATGAAAACGGTCCAAAATGTCAGATCAAACAAATAATATAATTGGTCTCATTGTCTTAGCAACTCAAAACGGCGAAAAATATCAGAGAGGTCTTTGCAACTCTGTCTAATGTCACAATTTTACCCCTGAAACCTGTGACCCCCATGTGCTTCAATTGGAAATATCTCGACTTCTTTTCAAGATAGATGGGTATTTTTTTCAGCAAAAGCTAGACAAATGAACAAGTTTTAAAATGATACCAATACCTTCTCATGTCCAAAAATTGATGAGCGCCTGATTCCACCAAGATGTCACACATTTGGTTTCTGGCCTCATGGTCTTTAAGTACAACTCCAAAAGGCCAGAAATGTCCCGTAGATCTTTCAACTCTCTCTCTCTCTCTCTCTCTCTCTCTCTCTCTCTCTCTCTCTCTCTCTCTCTCTCTCTCTCTCTCTCTCTCTCTCTCTCTCTCTTTGTTTCTTACCTCATCGTCTAAGTGACTCAAAAAGGCCAGAAATATGCCATAGATCTTTCAATTCTCTCTCTCTCTCTCTCTCTCTCTCTCTCTCTCTCTCTCTTTCTCTCTCTCTCTCTGTCTCTCTCTGTCTCTCTCTGTCTGTCTCTCTCTCTCTCTCTCTCTCTCTCTCTCTCTCTCTCTCTCTCTCTCTCCCTCTCTCTGTCTCCCTCTAAAGTAGCCATTCCCTCTCGTGCATCCACAGACCAAGAATACGGCAGGCAGTGCTACTCAGCATACCTATGCGTTGCGCCTGGCGACCTCACAGACTTCGGTATACCCTTCCACCGCTTGCTTGAGCATACGCTAGGCTTTCGCGTCTTCCTCCCGGAGAGGGATTTCTTAGCCGGGGGGTTCGCCTATGAGGAGCTCTCACGTGTGGTAGAGGAGAGGTAGGTTCCTCTGTGTGTGTGTGTGTGTGTGTGTGTGTGTGTATGTGTGTGAGTGCGTGTGTGTGTGTGTGTGTGTGTGTGTGTGTGTGAGTGCGTGTGAGTGCGTGTGTGTGTGAGTGCGTGTGTGCGTATGTGTGTGTGTGTGTGTGTGTGTGTGTGTGTGTGTGTGTGTGAGTGTGTGTGTGTGTGTATCTTATCTCATCTCCTCTAAACTCTTCTTATCTATCTTATCTTATCTTATCTTTCCCGGCCTTATATTATTATTACCTAACCTAACCTGATCTGACCTTATCTGATCTTATCTTTTCTTATCGTATCTTATCTTATCTTATCGTATCGTATCTTATATTATCTTATCGTATCGTATCGTATCGTATCACATCGTATAATATCTTTTCTTATATTTTATCTTATCTAATCTTATCTTGTCTTATCACAGGTGTAGGGGTAAAATCATCGTGGTGTTGTCCAAAAACTACCACACATCGGGCGAGTGTCGTTTCCTCACCTACTTCGCCCGCAACCTTGACCCAGGTGAGGCTAGCCACTGGTCAATGTTGTGGCTAACGACATACTTTAAGGGATCGAATAAAAGGC